TAGATAAACAATCAATTTCTAAGTCCTTGGCAATGACCGTGTAGGACCAAAATAACCCTCTCCAAATCCAAATAGGAGAGTTTCCGCGGTTGGCGCGAGGCCCAGATGGACAGTGAAGGAACTTGGCCCGCTGCCTTTGTTGTTTTTAGGAGCGCCAATCGCCCACCTGGATGCCCGCTTTTCTGCACTTTTACACTCGGTTGCCTTTGGCGTTTTAGTTTGTCACGACCCCATTTTCTCTTCGTAGTATGTCGTGACGGCACCTAGTCTCTAAGACTAGGTAATCCTAACAAACATGCGGAAATGAATGAAACAATAATCTAAAATCTCAAAAACTCAGCAACATATATATAAAAGGAAATCTCTACAGCTCAAAGTATATAGAATAGCTCAAAACCCGACGTAATACAAGTCACAAGCTCTATGACAATGCCAAAACCATTCCTATACAATTGTGTCTAGTAAAGAAGGAAAATATAAAAAAGGGATATAAGGGGACTTTGAGGCCTGCATACGCGGCAGGTGTACCTTGAAGTCTCCAAATGCAACTCAGCTCACTAGTGCCGGGAATGTTAAGATGTACTTGGATCTGCACAAAAAAATATGCAGAAGCATAGTATGAGTACACGGCAATGGTACCTAGTAAGTACCAAGCCTAACCTTGGTAGAGTAGTGACGAGGTCAGGTCAAGTCCCTACTGGAAATAAAAGGAAACAGGACGAAAGATATAACAATACAATGATAATGACAATGGACTGAGAGTGGAGTCATTCCCGTTTGAATGAAAAAGGTACGAAGTAGCTCGGTGTCGGCTCTGCTTGTTGGCGGAGGATGAAAAGATCTACGCCTTTCTCCCCCTGTGATTATGGCTCGCCCGCCCAGTCTAGTACCAAAGCACCCCGGTTCAATACCCGGGAGTAGAAGAGAGAACTCCTCTTTCTCATAAGTAGTGCCTCTCCTTCTCTACTACCGTAGCTGTCGGAAATAGCGAATTTGACTTCTTTTCCCCGAGAGACTTTAATGGAAATGAAACAAATAAGGAATTTACCAAAAGTTAACTACATAGAATCAAGGCAGATGATAAAACACGGAATAAAACAAGGATTGACATGTTAAGGAAACAAACAACCAAGACAAGTACAACAAATAGAGAAAGATCATCAAGGGCCACTACCGAGGTACCGCCTAGCAATCCCAAATTACAAAAAACTCACAATCTTTTCTTATATCACTGCGGGAGCCTTTACAATTAGTCGAAAATTATTTTTTTCCCGAAATAGCATCCCGTATTTTAGCAAACCTTATCACACCGCATGGCTTCTAGTAGTTCCCCTACTAGCCACGTGTATCAAGCGCACCTTATCTCACCGCATGCGTTTCAACACCCAGGCGTTATACCACCGCATGCTTATCAATATCACAACGTATCATAATTCGCACCTCAAGTGCACAATATCACAACTTGCCAGAGAAACCAAACAATAATAGAATTTCACAATAAGGAGCCCACAGCTCAACTACAACGTACACAAAGTCTCAACAATAACAACCGAAAGAATAACTCAATTGAATGATATTTCACAACTTAACACTTGCCTCAATAGGAATCATGACCTTTGCAAATCAATACTAATTTCGACAACAAGATATTCCAAGAATAGCAATTTCACGTAAAAAATTCAACAGTTAAATAATGAATACGGAATAAAAGGAAACAAGAACTTCAACTAAACATGTAAGCAATTAGCATGTAAGAGATAAGACAAGTAGACATGTGAAATTAGACTAAAATGGTGACTATAACATGTTAAGGCAACTCAATTAGGGCATGGAAGGGATATACATAACTAAAACCGGAAATTTCTACATTTAGCCTGTGTACACACTCGTCACCTTGCGTACACGGCTTTCATATATCACAATTATCACAACAATATCAAATCCTAAGGGATAATTTCCCCACACAAGGTTAGGCAAGTCACTTACCTCAAATCACGCTAAATCAATCAACTAGAAGGTCTTTCCCTCGATTTTCTAACTCCGAGCGGCTCGAATCTAGCCAAGATAATTTTATACTATAAATACAACTATTGGAAACTAATTCAAACAATGAAATTATGATCTTTGCAAATAATTGAAAAATCGACCCAAAAAGTTAACCCGGGCCTGCATCTCGGAACCCGATCAAAATTACCAAATTCGAACACCCATTAGATGCGAGTCCAACCATACAAGAATTACTCAAATCTAACCTCTATTCGCCTTTCAAAATTCAAAAAATTAGCCTAAGGGGTTTCTACCATTTTTTCCCAATTTTTAACTCCAAAACACTAATTAAATGATGAAATTAACAATAAATTCTTGCAAATTAACCAAAAACGAGTTAGAATTCCATACCCCCAACGTTCTCTCTGAAAAACCTTCAAAAAATCGCCTCCCACCGAGCTCCCTAAGTCTAAAATGGATTATGAATCAAAACCCTCGAATCTCTCCTTTTCTACCCAGTGACTTCCGCACCTGCGGACTTTGGGCCGCTTCTGCGGCTCAGCACCTGCGGAAAAACCATCGCAGGTGCGGATTTCACTTAAGTCAAGGAATCCGCTTATGCGGAAAATAGCTCGTATCTGCGCATACGCACCTGCGGCGAAAGCGTCGCACCTGCGACCATTGTTGCTCCTGCGCTCCTTTCCATTGCAGAAGCGAAGTCGCTTCTGCGAAACATTTCCCGCTCCTGCGACCCCAGCTGGGCATGACCAGCTCCGTATCTGCGACCAAATGCTCACTTTTGTGAGCTCGCACCTGCGACCATTTCCTTCCGCAGGTGCGAAGACACCAGAAGCTGCAAATCTTCAGCAAATTCTACAAGTCCAAATTGTTCTGGATTCGATCCGAATCACACCCGAGGCCCCCGGGATCCCGTCCGAATATACCAACTAGTTCCAAAATACATAATGGACCTACTCAAGGCCAAAAATCACATCAATCAACATAAATTCTACGAATCGTAACCCAAATTCAAGCCTAAGCAATTATGAACTTTCGAATTCCGCAACCAACGACGATTCATACCAAAACAACTCTGATTGACCTCAAATTTTGCACACAAGTCATAAATGACATTACAGACCTATTCCAACTTCCGAAATCAGGATATGACCCCGATATCAATAAAGTCAACTCCCGGTCAAACTTTCCAAAATCTTCCATTTTCTAACATTCGCCAATTCACGCCGAAAAGACCTATGGACCTCCAAACATCCGGACACGCTCCTAATGCCAAAATCACCATACGGAACTATTGGAATCATCAAAACTCCATTCCGGAGTCATCTTCACACAAGTTAAACTACGGTCAACTCCTACGACTTAAACCTCCAACTTAGGAACTATGTGTCTCATTTCACTTCGAAACTCACCCGAAACCAAAACCAAACACCCCGGCAAGTCACGTAACCACAATACAATATAGAAGAGACAATAAATAGGGGATGGGGGCTAAAACACTCGACGACCGATCGGGGTCGTTACATAGTTAGTGTTTGCGCCCTTCTGGACGCCAAACTCATAGTCCCTCAAAATACTTCCATTTTGGGTTCAAATCGCGCACATCTTTACGAAATCACTACCGATCGACTCCTATACATATAAGCATTGTAATTAAGCTCGAGTCGTCCCGCAACACGTTAATATTAATATGGCAAAAATATAAGGCACTTCATATATAAAAACATGAGTTTTTAGCCAAACATCAAACGACCGAGAGTATGCTCTGAGCAGTTAAGTGGTATAAGATGAAATTGCAATCTCCTCAATAATTATTAGTCTCTAGAAGATTTACTAATGTTCAAAATCAATTGTTATAGCGTCGACATAAATTGACAATTCATTGCAGTTTAATTGTTTATTGACTTGAAAAATGACATTAGACGTACATAACATGCATCAATTAACACACCTTCTGGTTTACATGGAGTTATATATGGTTCCTTTAATCCCTTCGAAAGGGACTAATAAACATTAAAAGAAAAATTGACATTATCACGAATTCTTGTTTTGAAGCAGTCCGAAATTGAATTATACTAAAAAAGAATTTTATGACTAGATTTAACTGAGCTAAAAGTTACTAAAGCCAAAATTTTCAGAATTTTATGACCAGATTCAACTATTCATAGGACGAATGAGCTTTTACCAAAATCTTTTGCTTAATTCGTGACAGCAGGCTCCATGATAATAACTCTCTAACTACAAGCTGCGTTCTCACTTCTTTCTTCCACATATAAGAAAGAACTCTTCAAACTCTTTTGGAGAAACACAACTCTCACCTACATATGTTTCTTTACAAAACAATACAACCAACATACAGCTCATGATTTCAATAATACATGAGAAAATTGTACTATGGTCTTACTAATCAGAAAAGTTTTTATTAACTAATGGTCAAGACCTCTGACTCTAAAGTTTTTATGTGCTCTAAACCATGTAGAAAAGAAAGCTATCAATTAATATCAACTAATGCCGAGTTTTATTAGTATTAATTTAATAGAGGCAACAATTAGATAAGCTTTAGTTGGTACTGATGTTTCAATTCTTGCAAATGTCATCTTTTTTACTTAAGTTCTTTTACATGAACAAAGTTGAACACTTGGACTTGTTCTTTTGTTGTAATTGAACCAGAGATATTGTTGAACCAACCCAAGTTCAAAGTGGGATATATTAAATTTTTATGAAGGGTTAAAGTTGAATATTGCATATGCATGCATGTAGCCATGTAAGTTTCGCTTCAAAAAGGAGTTTACCATTTTGAATAATACATGTAGCAACGTTGTGTAAATTATAAGAAAGAAATCAGTAAATCAAAAAAATGAGGTTCTGATCTTCCCCTTGAAGCATCTCGTTTATCCACCAAACCAGTTATAAAAATGACCTCCTTGCATAGACTATATATATATAAGATAGGTTGTTGTACTTCCTCTCTATCTCACTAAATATATGCACTTAAGTACAAGAAAATAAGATAGAGAGATATATAATTTGATCGTGGGAAAAATGGCGGAATGGCTGAGAATTATGGTGGTGTTGGCTCTCTCCTGGCCAATGTTGGTAGAATGCAGAGGCAATATTCGTCATTATAAATTCAATGTAAGTTTCTTTTTCTTTTTGTACCAATCAATAGTTTTGCAAAGTGCATAAGCACAAAAGGTAAAAACTTACGCGCAATCGGGCGCATATAATTAAGTTCTTACCAAGACTAAATTATGACAGTATAAATTTATCAGTATAATTTAACATGTTATTGTCTGTCTTATTGCTTATATTATTAACTTCAATTATTATGAACAATTACCTGTAATTATCTTTTAAGTGACGCAATAGTATGTATACCGTCAGTTATCCTCTTACAAAATCAGGAGGGGATCTGGAATTAAGGTTTTCATAGTCTTTAAAATATAAAAATGGTACTATTGGTAGGTAATGCGTAAAGTTCGCAGGAACAGATTTCAATGAATATATTGACATATGAAGCGAAGCTTATCGTCAGTTTTCATTATTATTAATTCATTATTTTCTTAGTTTAACTCATACTTTACCTGAAATATCTATAAATACGTCAATATAAAGCAGCATGCATGTGCATTTTTATTTTGCGTCAAACACAAAGGTGAAATCTGATGCAAGATTAACTGATGGAATGTCATTTTCGTAATGCGCAATTATTCTACAGAAAGGTTTTGGCTACAAAAATTAATGGATGGAATGTCATTTTCCGGAATAGTTGGTAACCATGCAAAATATTGTGCTCCATTTTTTTTTAAAAGTATTTGCGATAACATTAATATAAAGTCTAAATTGTGTTTTGTGGGATAGAAGCCACTGTCTTGATCATTCTTTTCTTTTCCCTATCAACCGCTGTCAAATTATCTGCATTTCTAGACAAACCTACAAATCAATAAAGTATATATGTAGCAAATATGTCAACATTATAGTCGTACTTATCATTTTACAATAAAGGACCCGTTTGGACATAATTTTTAATTTTCTTTTTTTTATTTTAAAAAGACTAATTCGGGTGAAGTTTGATGTGAAGTTATAAATGTGTTTGGACATAAAATTTGAGCAAGTTTTGACATGTTAAATAGTCTTTTTTTCAACTAAAAAGTCCCAACATGGTCATGATTTGGGCCAAAAAGAGGTCTTAAGCTATATTTGGAATTTGAAGTTTTGATTTTCAAAATCTCCCAAAAACTAGATTAACTCTATAAACAAACGCATATTTGAATTTTTTTTGAAAAAGAAACTTCCAAAACTTATGACCAAACGCCTACTTTATCACTTCGCAAAATCTCATTTTGGTACTCTATATTTACGTGTGAGTTTCAATCAAAATAAAAGAAGGAGAACGGGTTAGGTTTATAATAATGTCAAATTATTTAGTATATAATTTACTTACAAGATGAAAATGTTAAATATATTACTTGAATGGTCAACTACATCATGTTTCAGATGGCCTTGTGATAATTTGATTAATTGCTGAAATGGAAAGATTAAATTTTTCTGAAAGGATCTAATGGAAAAGGATCAGTGATCATCACAACAACTCAATAGATTAAATTGAAAATTGATATAGCTAAATATATGTTTCAAGAAAGGTAAAGATATATTTCATAAAAGGATTTAAATTGTATAAACTGACAGTACAAAAGTATTTTTATACTGTTTAACATATTATAGCATGCTATTTATCCTACTGTTTAGTTAATATATCAAGCTTCACTTCAAACAGTTACCTCCACTATTGGAAAATGGTCCTATGAAAACGCAAGGAAAACCGTTGCAACAATAGGTAAACCGTTGCCATAGATATATAGCTACGGTTTAGCAACCGTTCCATCTACCGGCATGCCAATAGAGCTAGAGCAACCATGTTCAAAATCGTTGCTATAGAGATATAGCTATGGTTTAGCGACTGCACGAAAATTAAACTCCGATATGATTGGTGAGATTTTGTAATGCAGGTGGTCATGAAAAATATAACAAGATTATGCTCAACTAAGGCTACTGTAACAGTGAATGGCAAATTTCCTGGTCCAACTATCTATGCGAGGGAAGATGATACCTTACTTATCAAGGTCGTGAACCAAGTTCATTATAATCTCACCATCCACTGGTTAGTTCTCTATTACAGAAATTTCTATCCTACATTTTTTGTTCTTTTCTTTTTCTATGTGATTTTTTTTTTAAAATGATGAACAGGCACGGTGTCAAACAAATAAGGACAGGGTGGGCTGATGGACCGGCTTACATAACACAATGTCCGATACAGCCAGGGAAAAGCTATGTCTACAATTTTACAGTCAGAGAGCAGAGAGGAACACTATTTTGGCATGCACACATTCTCTGGCTCAGGGCAACTGTCCATGGTGCTATTGTCATTCTCCCTAAGCTTACTTTGCCCTACCCATTTCCCAACCCCCAAAAGGAAATTCTCATCATTTTAGGTAATGTTATGTCATTGTCATACCATTTTTTTTTTTATTGGAAAATGAGTTGAAATATTCTAGCAGGATCATATGTGTATTTGGTGTATAATCTCAACAGTATCTTTCATTAGAATCCCAACTTGACAACGAATTTGGTGGCTCAATTGGCAGGTGAATGGTGGAAGTCAGATGTTGAAGTTGTAATTGATGAAGCAACACAATTAGGTTTGCCCCCAAATATTTCTGATGCTCACACCATCAATGGCCTTCCTGGTCCTGTCTCAACCTGCTTATCACAAGGTAAAATTCATGTCATTTTTCTTCCTTTCTACCATTCTTGAGATTTTGGACTATTGCTTTCTTTTTTTATTTGTAATATATTTTGGATTAAATTTATCTATATTGCTTTTTTAACAAATTTACTTTATAAGGACCCGTTTGGCCATAGATTTTGCCAAAATATATTTGGGTTTTTTTGGGCAAATATATGTTTGTTCATAAATTTTATTCATATTTTGGCAAATTCCCAAAACTCAAATCCCAAAACCAGCTCAAGGCCCAAAATATTACTATTACATTTTTTAAAAATTGTCCCAAACTTTTGTATTTTATAAAAGAGCCCACCATTTATTATTTTGTAACAATGCTGTTTCGTCTTCTCGATCAATAGTGTATTATGTAGTTCATTATAAAAATGATAATTTTGTACCAAATTTATTTATGTTCAGGACTATGGTTTGCAATAATATAATGAATGTTATTGATGAAGGTACTGTTGGGTATTTGTGATAGTTTTTAGAACTTATGGGTATAAGTCATGTTTTGTGTTTTCTCAAAAAAAAATGAAATATATTTTGAAAACTGATGTCCAAACACATTTTCATTTTCAAACCAAATTTCACCCAAATCAGACTTTTCAAAACAAATTTGGGAATCTATAAGTTTCTTGAATATTGTTAATACTTTTTTAGATCACTTGGTACGTAAAACATAAACTCTTTTTTTTTTTTTTTTGGGTTCGAATAATCCACAGAGGGATTCACTTTCCTAGTGGAGCCAGGCAAGAAGTACTTACTGAGAATAGTCAATGCTGCACTGAATGAAGAACTTTTCTTTAAGATTGCTGGACACAAAGTCACTGTGGTTGAAGTTGATGCTTCATATGTTAAACCCTTTAAAACTGAGACCATTTTAACAACTCCAGGACAGACTACAAATGTCATTTTATCAGCTGATCTTGGAACTGGAAAATACTTAATGGTAACATCACCATACATGGATTCTCCTGTCTTAGTTAATAACAGAACTGCTACTGCTACTTTACAATATCTAGGCACCAATACTTCTTCCACCACAACAACTTTAACCGTGCCGCCGCCTACAAATGCCACCCCTATTGCAATTAAATTTGTGGACTCTCTCAGAAGCTTGAATTCAAGAAAATATCCAGCAAAAGTCCCACTTCAGAAAATTGATCATTCCCTTTTTTTCACCATTAGTCTTGGACTCAACCCTTGTGAATCATGTTATAGAGGATTTCGAATCGTGGCAGCTATCAATAATGTTACATTTGTTATGCCAAGTGTGTCACTACTTAATGCACATTTCTTCAATAAAAGTGGAGTGTTTACTGATGATTTCCCTGGAAATCCAGCATATACATTTGACTACACAGGGATTCCACCAGAAAACTTGAGGACAATGGAAGGGACTAGGCTATATAGACTTGCTTATAATTCTAATGTCCAAGTAATAATGCAAGATACAGGATTGTTGAGCCCTGAGAACCATCCAATGCATTTACATGGCTTCAATTTTTTTGTGGTTGG